TAGTTGGTAAGATGGTTTTGGTCGGTTATTATAGTTGGTAAGATGGTTTTGGTCGGTTATTATAGTTGGTAAGGTGGTTTTGGTCGGTTATTATAGTTGGTAAGGTGGTTTTGGTCGGTTATTAGTTGGTAAGATGGTTTTGGTCGGTTATTATAGTTGGTAAGATGGTTTTGGCCGGTTATTAGTTGGTAAGATGGTTTTGGTCGGTTATTATAGTTGGTAAGATGGTTTTGGTCGGTTATTATAGTTGGTAAGATGGTTTTGGTCGGTTATTAGTTGGTAAGATGGTTTTGGCCGGTTGGTAGTTTCTCGATTGGGAGTTGCCAGGCTGGTATGTTGGTTGATTTGGTGTTACCCGGCGGTAGTTCGTTTGTTTGGTTGATATTTGGTCAGTAGGTCACTGGTCGATTTTTATTTAGTCGGTTATTAGTTGGTTGGCTGTTAGTTCTTTTAGATTTGTTAATTTGTACACAAAATCCGATCATTCTTTATTTTTACTTGACCAATTATTAGTTAATTCACATTAAGAACTAAATCTTACATCCAAGAAGAAAATTACAAAAGCAAACAATTGGCTTGATTTCTAGGTTATGCAGTTCTGTGCGTATAGACAAATATATGCAAAAAGCACATTTCAGTTTCTTCCATGGTCAGATTTAGAGAGAGCTTTCTAAAACATCAATGAATTTGCTTACAAACATGATAAACAGATTTGGCAATTTGCTTATTAAATGTTACTACATGGTTTCTCCTAGTTTTTACAAATCCTCCCAATTGTGAAATTATGGCTTTTTCGGACTTAAAATAGAAAAACTATAAAACTTTTTTTTTCTTTGCTTCTCATTTAAAATCCCATAAAGATATATGCTAATCAAAATGGAGAACTTGTTTATCATGACTTCAAGATAATTTACACTAGCACTAAAGCTGACATGGGAGAAGATGAAATGTGCTTTATGCATATATTTCTCTATACGCATAAAGCTATAACCTACAAATCAAACCAATCTTTCCTTTTGCATTTATTTTTCTTAGAATCACTGTACAGCTTAGATTTAGTTCTCAATGTGACAAATATTTGAATAAGTAAAAATATACAATGATAAGATTTTTGTACAATTTGATAATTCCAAAAAACCTAATAGTGCCTAGTTAGTCGGAAGGAAGTTTGTTAATTGGTTTTGGTCGGTTTGTAGTTGGTCTGCTGTTTGTTGTTCGGTTGGTAGTTGCACAAGTTTGTAGTTGATAGGTTGTTAGTTAGTCAAGTTGTAGTTGGTCGGTTGTTAGTTTTTTTGACAAGTAGTTGGTCTATTCGGAGTTGATTATTTGGCTTTGATGGTCGGTTGTTTTGTTCAATAGGTAGTTGGTCGGTTGATACTCGCTATAATTGTTAGTTGAAATATTGGTATCTGGCCATGGTAGTTAATTGGTTGGTGATTAGTTCGCTAGTAATTGGTTAATTTTTCTGGGTTGGTCGACTGGTTTTTCGAGTTTTTTTTTGTATTGAAATAAAAAAGTGTAAGCTTGTACTTTCAAGAATAATGTTTATGGAAATGTGTCAAATATTCTCTAAATAGTAGTTTACAAATATTTTTGTAACATTAAATTGAAGAACATTATAGCCGCGCCATTAGTTTAAGAGTTGTTTAAAATGTCTTAACAACGGCTATTTTTATGATAATGAAAATATTTTAAATTATATACATTAGTGTTAAGTTGTACAAATTGTAAGATGCAGGCTTTATTAAGATAGAAAAACGACGATATATTCCTCAAAAAAAGTGTTAACGATAATTGTTGTGAATTGAACAAGTATAATTTTAAATGGAGGATCACCCGAAATTAATTGAATAGTCCCTTTCATGAGTATTTGGTTATTGTGATGATACAGTGGTAGGCGATTATATCAATACAATGAAGACTTCTTTTGATTTCAATTTTCAATCAAGCAATTAAACAGCATGGATACACATAGCTTAGAAGTCAAAAGAAGCAGTCTTTAAAAAAAGCTTCTTTTTGATTACTTGTAAACTTGTAATTTCAAAAAGCTTAATAGCAATCAAAACTTAAATAAAAAGTCGTCTTCATTATATTATTATAATCGCCTACTGTATTTACCTACGCTAAACCCGAGCTTGATGATACCAACAACCTCAGCAACCTCAACAACCTGCTGGATACAAGGATTCGTTATTAGTTCGAGTAGTGGGGGACATTCGTTAATCGTTAATAATGGGGGGGACATTCGTTAATATTTTACCCTATCACGATTTGGGGGGGGGGGGCGCAACCCCCTCTAATTTGTTTTGATAACTTTAAAATGGCTTCTTACATTAGAACGCTCAAACTTCTTCACATTTTAAACGTCATCGTTGTGAACAAATTTTGCAAAATTTGTTTTTTGATGTAGGGTGAACGACTTTCAATTATGTTTGATATGTGCTTAAAAAATTAACTGTTAATTATAATTAAGCCTAAAATTTTAAATTTTTGTTTTGAACGGCCTTGAAAAATGGACCTAAAAATATGTGTCACATGTTCGTATTTGTCAAAAATAAAAATAACCAAGAAGTTTTAGTCTAGTTTTTCTAATAAGCTGGCCTGGAAAATTTGGACTGAGGACATATTTTACACTTCAATATTTCAACTCTAAAAATAAAAACATATATATTATTAGACAAAAAACAATCGGGATAGGGCTTACACAAGATATTTATCGTGAACAGATTTTAAAAATAATTTTTGAAAGCATTGTCAGTAAAGTAAAGGAATGATGAGCGAACTAGATCGTTGAGAGTAATACAACAAAATTGTAAACAAAAATGAAAAAGAAAAAAAGATTTACACTTTACACTCGTTTTCATGTCAGTCGTTCATAATCATAACAACTATTCAAAACACTATTATTTTGGTTCGCAGTATTATAAATAGGGTTTCAAAAAAAGGGTAAATTGTTTAGGGAACATTTTGTATTTTTCCCCCCTAAAAAAATGTTGGCGAAAATTTCGCAATTTTTCGCATAAGCTCGGGACAAAATTAAATCTAAAAAGGCTTGAACTTTCTCGATAAAGAGAAAATGTCTGTTTAAAAACTTTATAAAACTGCGAACCAAAATAGCTGTGAAGTTATAAATAGTTATAAAGAAAATCCGGTAACCAATCAAAACTTTATAGGACACGTGCTATAATGTACAGCTAATTTAACTTTTTAGCACGATGATTACTTTATAGCACGTTCATCATGAAATTTAGGATGAAGTGAGTAAGATATACACAATAGTTTCATAAAATCATTTGTTCACATCTACAGCCGAAATCGAATGCCAATTACGTTTAATCTTTCAATGCAAATTCTTTATTAACAAATAAACCTCAAAGGATTTGAGTATTTGCCACAAACTTTGATCTTTTAATCGCTATATCTTTGCAACCCAATATTTTAGACCTAAAATAGTTCAAACTATATACATCTTGTTAGAGCAAATAGTGTAGAGGAATTAATTTTTTGCCACAAACTCTGACTTTACTATTTCTATATCTTAGGAAAAAAATGTCGGATACCTTCGATATTTCAAACTATGAATTCTACTAGATTAATTAATCTGAGTTTGAAATATCAAAGGTTTACACAATAAGGTTGCAAAGCTGTAGGGATTAGAGAATTTGAGTTTGGGCAAAGACTAGGTTTAAACCATCATCTTGCGACGATAGAGGGATTATAATATTAGAATTTGTGGGCAATACTAAATTCCTTAATAATTTAAACTAAATCAGGTTCATGCAATAATGAAACTTATCATTTGTGACATCCCGCTCCTGTTTTATTTCTTCGTTGCTAATATGCAAATAAAAAAGAACAAGTTAGGAATTCAACCTGAAAAACATGTCTCAATTTTCTATATAAAAATTTTCCCAGACATGGCTTATGAATATGATGCAGGGTGATGATTTCTGATAATTGATAAATGACATGAAGTGCATAAAATAAAAAATAAGTCTATTGAGCTATTCAAAATGTGGTCTACCTTCTTTGTATCTTTAAAATTGACCGAGACACTAAACATTTGAACAGTTTTGTTGATTTTTAATCAGCTGGAATCTGGACAAATTTCCAATTTCCTATTCAAATTTCCTATTATCTCTGTCAATTTTGATAGGGAAAAATGATAGACCCCATTTTGGAAATCCCGAGACTAGAAGTTTTCGGAGTTAAAGGTTTACAATGATGTTTACGAAATAAGACGATATAGAAGTCGTCACTTAATACCCATGTTTATTGGGACACCTTGTAGAAAAAAGGTGTGCTTGGCAGATAGCGCATGAAATTTAAACAGGTGATTATCCAGATTTTCAATGTCATTCAAACAATTTTACATTTAACAAACTCAACTTCTAAACTTCAAGTTTGAAAGTTCCAATTTAAATTTCTAAAACTTACAGCGTTTAAAGCATTTAAGAAGATAATCCCAAGGATCAGTTGGACTAATATAAACTTCATTTTCTTTAGTAAAGAACAGGTTAAAGAGCACCTAACTCAGCTTTCATCACATTCACAGGTTTAGAGTTCAAATATCACTGACTGAAACTAGGAACTGTATAGGCTGGAACAACATCCTATACATTGTTCACTATAACATATTTAAACACATACTTCACTTAAAAATTAACATTAATATATTCACAAAAATGCGCGTAGAGATGACTCAGAAAGAAGTCTACCTAGCAGAACCGTTTCCAGTTGTATCCAGTTTTAAACCAGGGTTGCCAACTCCAAAATTTTGCTCAGAACCACATATTTCACTGCAGGGAACCAGTTGGGAACCAAAATCGAACATGCAAAACCACTTCAGAACCAATGAAAAAAAGAGCATTTTGACAAGAAAAAATACTTTTTATTCAACACTTTTTGCCAGAGGGCTGTATAACTACTCTGAACTTCTCCCTTCTCCGGGTATATCAGTCAGTATTAGATATTAAAATAAATGCGACCCCTTCTTAAAAACGATTGTTTACATGATTTTTTTAAAGAGTCACTGAAATGGGGAAAAACCTAACTATTTTTTGGTAAATACATGGCATTTTAAAGTAAAAATTATTATAGAGGGTAAAAACTTGCCCATTGAAAGCCAATTTTTGAAATTCATGGGGAATGTGATGACTTTAGAACTGTAAGACGATATTCCTGATAAGACGGCCGTTTTACGTGTTCTAGTAAAAAAATTGGTTATAGCTATATTATCGAAACTAGAAATAAGAATATCCATTAACTTAATAAACTGCAGTTCTTCTAATAAGAGTTCTTTAATTCCCAAAATGAACAGTTCAGATTATATGGTAGTTTTGTAATATGGCATTTCAGTATCAATGCTAAAAATGCTAACAAAAGATTGTCCAAATCACTTTTTTATTATAGGTTCTGTCTGCTTTAAGTCTTCAGCTTTCACTTAATGGTTCCTTACAGTAAATTTTTTTAACCTTTTCTGTAGACCTTAAAAAGGTACGTGACCCGCTTAGTTGAGGGCAGATGCAAAACTATCACATCAAATATAAAGTGGGCATTAAATTTATTAAGGGAATGGAGGTGCTTAAATTATATAGTTTATAAAAATATCCTTTCAGTTTCATTAATTTAGAAAATTTTATACAAGAATTATCTAAAAATGATTTGCTAAATCTAACCATTTTAACGTTTTCCTCAATATATACCAAAAAAAAACTTGGAACAAGATGGGAACCACCAGAACCACTTTTGAGTTATTTGGTTCCGTACAGAACCACTTGGCAACCCTGTCTTAAACTAAAGAGTATAAGACTGAGACTACAAGCAGTGAACCGTAAAAACTAGAATTGATTCTTCATGATGACAGACTGGATTGACTAAACCTATAAGAGAGAGCGCGAAATCTATTTCTCAAGCAGGAGCAATACCTTCGAACCTTCGTAATGGGATTGTTTCCATATTTCAGGAAAGACACCAGATGTCCACCGTACCACATGTCACCTAAATATTAAAGGGGTTATAATTTGGAGAATTTTTTTTATTAATTCAACAGGACTAGTTTTTCAAAGAAATATATTTTAGCAAAATTAAATACAGTGATGTTCTAATTATAACCCGGGATAATATAAATTGATTCATTTTAACTTCAAAGTTGTCTTTGACCCTTAAAAATAGTAATTGCGGCATTCAACGCTAACCTTTTCAGCAACATAATTCTATGAAACAATAATCACATAAAAGCCCTGTCCTGCAATTTCCAAAATGTGGTCTACCATTTTTGTGCGTTCATAATTCTACTGGAGAATGAATGCTTTCGTTTAGAATAAATAATAATTTTTGATGGTTTTATTACATAAATTCTTGATCGATATCTCGAGGTATTTTTAGAGCAAAAAAATGGCAGACGACATTTTGGAAATGGCTGGATTTTAAGTGGATATGAGGTAATTAGTTTTCTCATGTAAAAATCCCGTGTACATCACGTGAAATAAACTTAAATTTTCACTGTGTAAAAATGTCATCAAATCTTCGACAATCTTGTCAGCACATTAACTATCACGGGATATTCACGGGTCACTCTTGTGAAATAAACCAAATAATCTTGTGATCTCCAAGGGTTAGTTGGTTAGTTGCAATTGGGAAGAGGGGGGAAGGCAAGCCACACTTGTAGCGCTTCCTATCCACAATTTAGTGAATTTACAATCACAAACATAACTTACAACAAAGCACTCACCCGTAGCGCTGATCCTTATCCACACCCAAATAGCTTCCGATAAAATGTCTTTACTTTAGAATATTTATTAAAGAGAATACAGAGACAGCATTAAGATNAATAAGCTAAATCTCAGCTACTCCTGGAATTTATGAGCTAAACTTCAACCCTCAAGAAGCTAATCTGCTACACAGCTACTCATGGAGCTAACTAGCTTCACAGCTACTCCCAGAGCTAATCAGCTAAACAGATACTTCTGGAGCTATCAAGCAACTCAGCTACCATCTTAACCTACTCGTAGATATTCTGGACGCCAGTTCTCTACAGGTTGAATCTATGCCCGCCTAACCTTCACTACAACAGATCTCTTTAAATGGCCACTGGCCAGCCTTACACAAGGTTGATCATGACGTGGGGAGGGGGCAGATCAGAAATTCACAAACAACTAGTTGTGAATAATATCATCACCAGAACTCCTTCTACTCCTTTTCCGTAAACACTTACAAGGAGCTAATTATCAGTCTCGACTCTCTCTGTACTCGAGACTTAGGGGGGACTTCTGTGGAGGATATGAAATCCCCGAAAGAGGATTAGGAAATCCGCAAATCAGTTGTGTCGGACCCTGGAACCGGAGAAGACCTTCTCAACTTCCTCTCCTTTTATACACTCTTTATTTAATATGTATTTATATCTAGAAGCAATAAATGTACTTCTAAAACACCCCCTTTTTTAGGTAACCGGGTTTTAGTAATTGTTCTATATTAATTGAACGGAACGGGGGGATGGAAACGTTCTTTAAATAAGAAAACCAAGAACGGAACGGAACGGGAAGACCATTCTTCTAATTAGAACGGAACGGAACGGGAGGGAACGGAACGATACAAAAAAAGGAATGAGAACGGAACGATTTAGCTGAAGGCCCTCGTTCTAGAACGGAACGGAGTGATTTCAAAAAAGTCGGAATGTGCCCAGCCCTAATTATAACCTATACTCATTTATCATATTCTTATTTGGTAATATATATAAGGAAAAATTCTGGCTCCTTGGACTGATAGTTGTTTAAATTTTGATCAGAACAGTGTTTCAGTAAAAAACTTACCCGAATAGCTTCCGTTCTACAATCTTCATACATTAACACTCAATTCATTCTTTTGTATGCCTCAATATACTATTTACAACAAATATTTTCGTGGGGGTATATTATGTTATGAAACTAAGGCATTATCTTCCTGAAAATGCATTCATTTTTAATGTAAATTTGGTTTGCACTGTGTAAGAGGACAGTTGTTGACCTATAGTCAAAATAAATAAATGGACAATAACGATCTATTCGGAACTTTATTGAAATAAAACAAGGAAAGTAAATAAAGTTTTTAAATAGTTTTCTATTGAGTGATAGAAAATGCTTAGACATAAATTATGATTATTGATTAAGAAACTAATAGGGAACAGCTAGAACTTCATGAAGAACTGCACACAGGATCTCGGCATCTTGTCAGCCGTTTCACGTCTATCTAGGCTTTGGTGTCAGGGGTGATTCAGGTTACTAGTTACCTTTGGCTTGAACCCTGACATTTGTTGGCTTTGAAATTAGCAGCATCCGCTGAAAGGGCTGTGATCTGTGGCTGGTTCATGAACGAGTTGGGCGACCCTTTAAGACCGGAGATGTTTACAGTACGGCATTTCTTTCTACTCCAACTGAAGCCCCCTCTCCTGAAGGAGGAGGAAGGGGGGAGGTTACGAACGTGTATCCCACATTTATCTGTCTTGAAAATATTACGCTGCGCATTACCAGCTTTCTCAGGCTTCATAAAGGATCGTCTTCAAAGATGAATTTGTTTAACAACAGTACATGAACTTTCTTGGTAAATGGAAGCTTTATTGCAATTTCCTCCTCAACCACAATATTTCGTACATTTGGGCTGATGTTAATCTTCTTTAAACATGTTTTGAAATTGAAGATAAGTTCAATCTTTGCCAGAAAAAATGTGCATGGTTTTGTGTAGGAAACTTTCTGAAATCAGAAACAAGACTTAAATTCTTTTAAGTACGATCAAATTCTGGTTTAAAAGTAAATCCAACCAAGGAGCCTGATGTGAATCCAACCAAGGAGACTGATGTGAATCCAACCAAGGAGCCTGATGTGAATCCAACCAAGGA